AGATGTCTTTAAAGTCCATCATTTCTTATTAGTTGACATGCTACTCTAGATATTTTTATTTCCTCTATTTGTTTCTTTCTTTATTCATTTAGTTAGATCAGCATGCACTCATAAACTCCTCTTTTATCGAATAGGTCATGGTCTATTACTATTAAACATTTTTCAATGCTCGAATTTTCCTATAGTTGACTGTTGGAAGCACCGTTAATCCGGCTTCTATGTTATCTTGACATTTACTCCATCATCCTTTGGGACATTCCTATATTCTCACACACACACAAAAATATCCAAGGCTTATCTGTACATTTTCTGCAGTAGTCCTGGAATCAGTTATTTCTCTAGGGAGCCCTGGTTCCTTTAAGTGGGTAATTATATTTAGAAAACAAGATCTGAATCTCAGTGTCCTCATTGCTCTGGACTGTAATTGTTTTCTGGGCCCTCTCAGAGGCTATAGCAAGGAAATACAACACACACACACACAAACTAACTGTTATGTACATCTTTTCAAATTCCATTTATCTATATATATTAAAAAATCATGAGTTCACATCAATATCTCCAATTCAAATTCAGCTTCGCAGGATTTATGCTGTATCCCTTCACCTCAATTCTTCTGATATGTTAAACCCATCACTGTCGAATCAGGTTCTTTAGGTTCCTGAAGGCCCTATTTTAAAAAATTAATATACAATTTGGAAATTATAGTAAGAATTAAATGGAAAATATGTCCTTTTTCATGTGGTCTCATTTTATTCACAGAAAATATATTTGTAGACTACCCACAGTCAGGGATGAAAAAGGAAGAAGACTTTTGGTTTCTTGGTGCAATTTTTTTTATTATTTTATTCTGGAATCATGTATAAGAAGGTCTACTTATAAATGTAAAGTTTTTTTAAAAATCAGCACTGAATTGATTTCATTGATTTGGTGGTGGTGGGGGGGTAATATGTAAATGTACATACAGGAGAGAGAAACAAATCTACAATGAGAATTCTGATTCTAGCCAAGATGGAGTAGCCTCATTCTTCTCAGATTCTCTCTCTAAAAATTATTTTAAAATCTGGACATACACACACAAAAAAAAACAAGCCTAGAAAGATTCTGAAAGGTGGAGGGAAGACAGGTGCGTAGGGGCCTCAGGACTTGAGGAACAACACAGAGGTGAGTTATCTGTGCTTCCTTAATTGTCTTCTATATATCCCAAACAGAGCATGTCAGAAACTTTCAACCATCAACTGTCAATAGTCACAGAAAAAAAATTTTAAACTTCAGGAATATCTTATTCCCCTTAGCCAAAGGATGGAGAAAGGGTAGTGTATCAACAGAAAACATTTTTCCTACTGCAGCCAAACATTAATGGAAAAACCACACCATCTCCCTGTGGTTTCAGTGGGACCAAGCAAGGAAATGTTCTTCCACTCTACCCCTCCACCCTGGGCTTCCTCACTGGGTGGTATCAGTGCTTCCCAGCAAGGAGCTGAACCTCCACCTCCACCCTGTGTCAACAAGACTAGAAATGGGGTGCAAGGCAGAGCTGATCAACACTGCTGGTGTTAGCAGGCCCAGCGGGGAGCTGGATGCTTATACCCACCCAGTAGCAATGAGACCAACTGAGGAGGCACAAAGCTGGGATGGTCTAGTCTGTACTCTACTTCCCCTATCCTGGTTTCAGCAGGGCACAGTGAGTAGCTGAGTCTGCCTTCCCATATGGTATCAATGAAGCAGAAAAAGATGGTAGGAGGCAGGTCTAGTTGGCATGCCACTTCTCCACACCCTAGTGTCATCAGGGTTGAGTGTCGGGAGCTGAACTTCTGACCCAACACTGCAGCAACCACATGGTGAAACTGAACATGAATGCCTACTTGACTCTCACACTACACATTAACAGGGTGACTGCTTTGGGGGGGGGG